CCTTTCTCTTTCTTTTTTATTTAAATTTTCTCCGTTCCTCCAAAAATTCGAATCATCTTCTTCCCTACTTCTTTTCTCATCTTTCTGATTTTTTTTTATTTTTATTTATTTATTTTAAAAATTCGATTTTTTCTGCGGCACCCTAAAATCTGATTAGGACTTAGCCATTCTTGCTTTCGGCACACATTTTGACCCCGTGGGGGTAACGAAGTGCTGCCGAAATTTGTGAAAAATCAAAAACTTGGTTAGTTTCCCTTCACTCTCCTCCACCTCCTTATTTATTTATTTACTTATTTTTAAAAAAAAAATAATTTGCGGCATTGTAAAAATTAGTGTGCTTCTCTTAGTCTCTCCTTTCTCTTTGCACATTTCGACCTCGTTGGGGTAAGAAAATGCTGCCGAAATTTTCAAAAAAATAAATAAGTCATTTTTCCTCGCTCTTTACATTTTATTTCTTTATTTATTTTTATTTCTTCTTTTATTTTATTTTTATCTCGAAATTTTATTGTTTATTCTATTTTCTTTTCCCCTCCCCTCCATATTATCTTTTTTCTTGATTAGGTCGCCGCTACCCTCCCCTAACCACCTAAACTCCGGTTAGGGTTTTCTTAGGGTTTTCTAGGGTTTAGGGTTCTCCTAATTCCCGCCCCCCTTCCTACTCTCCCGCCTCCTCCCGTCGGGCACCCTGGACCTGGACGGCTCCTCCCCCCTCGAGCGGTTCGGCGCCTTCGTCTCACGTGCGCCCCGCAAAATCCGAGGCGAGCCGACTCACACATACTCACTCCGTTCCCGCGGTCCCCTTCCTCTTACCGGTGGGCCCCTTTCCCCACACACTCCTCTGAGGACTACCTCCATTCCCCTTCCGGCCATGGAAGGGAGTTCATCCGAGGAGATCGCCGCGGCGCAGTCCACACCCCAGGTCAGCGCGCCGTCAGCGGCTCATGATCAGGCCCATGCGGACACCATGGACCTTCATGTCGTCCTTATAACAATCCAGGCACAACTTAGTACGCTTGGATCGTTGCAAGCGCAAATCAATGCGCTAGCCCTCGACGTCAACCGCCTCAAGGGCTCCCTTCATTGCTCTCCCCACCGCTCTCACGCCCCTTCCCCCACCGACTCCGATTTCGGCTCCCAGGACTCCGGAGACGGAGTCACCATGGTTCCCTCTCCTTTGCGGGCCAGGCCCATCACTCCCCCTCAGCGGTGGCTAGTGCTGCTACTGCTCAGACCACCCCGTCCATTGCGGCAGTTCTTCCGGCCACGACCGCCTCTACCGTCTCTACTACTGCCATAGGTGCTGTGGTCTAGGTACCGCCTTCTGGCCCAGCAGTTTCATCGACCCACACCGGCGTTGCTTCCCAGCTTCCCGCACCGGTCGTGGCAATACGGCTCCACCCTCTTCTTTCTGCCTTCGTCCCCCCGCCCCCACAACAGGGTACCGCCCAGGCTGGGATTCCTCCTCCCACTGGGAGACCCGCTCCGCCCCCTCCACCTCTGACCCCGCGCACCCAGCGAGTGGCCACTTTATAGGCCGCCATTGCACAGGCTCAGGCGAAGATTCTCGCTCTGAGACAACCTCACCTATCATAGGCTGCCCACCCTTCTTCCTCTACCAACCCTTCGGTCCCCATGATGCAGGCTCCTTTTCCTCGACCTGCTCCTCAGCCTCGTCCCTCCTACCTGGCTATTCCGGGACAGCTGCCCGCGGTCGTTGCCTCCTCGTCTGCTGGTCCATCCGCCAGCGGCCACGGCCCACAGCCTTCCCCCACCACTGCCCCTGCAACGACCTCGACTTACGCTGCCGCAGTGCACTCGCCTCGATCTCTCTCCCCCCGCCATCAGCATAGTGGACATCCTCCTGTGCGCACCACGGACATTCCCAAGTATGATGGCACATCCCGTGTCTCTCGCTGGTTGCCGATAGCAACGCGCACGCTCTCTATGACGACCACCCATCAGGAGTTGTGGTGCGATGTGCTCGCAACCAAATTGCGAGGTAGCCCTTCCACTGCGTGGGAGGATCATCTGAGGTCCCCAGTCTGGCCGACTTCGCGGCCTTCCTTCAGGACCGTTTCGGAGCTCGTCATGACGCCACCGACGCCTTAGACCGCGTCACGCAGACCAGATGGTCCGGGTCCTCCATACCGGCCGACCTGGAGCGTCACATCCAGGTGTTTCAGGACGCTCGCCTTGTTTGTGACGAGATGTTCCTACCGGAGGTCACACTCACCGACCGGTTCCTTGTCAGCCTGCCGACCGACTACCGCCTAGAGCTATGGAGACGATAATTCTCTTCCGCGGAGCAGGCATACGAGGCTGCGCGTCAGTACCAGAGGATGTGCAGTCGCTTCTCCGTCGCCCCATCCTCTTCGCGACCAACCGCCATCTCCCAGTCTCGGGGTACCACCCGAGGACGCTCCTCGTTTGCCGGTCATTTTCGTCGCCCGTCTCGACCTGGAGCGCCATTCGCTCGGCACTACAGTTCTCTCGAGTATGGAGAGGACGCCTCAGCCGAGCTCGATCCTACCATTGGGGACGCCCCCGAGGACATCGAGCTTCGGGACGTCATCCAGTACCACTTGGATAACGACACTGTCCCAATGGCCGAGCGCCTGCAGATGGCCATGTCTGCCATGGGTCGTGCACGCAGTCGGGTTGCACAGGCTGGCACCCGCACACCCACAGTTCCTCAGATAGACCTCCCGCAGGGTTTTGTCCCTCCTCGCGGACCTCTATCCCCCGAGGAGTGTGCCGCCCTCGAGGCCCGACGCGGCTGCCTTCGTTGCCGCCAGGATGGACACACCTCCTCACGGTGTCCATACCACACCGCCCGATCGGTACTACGCTGACATTTCTCATCAGCGCCAATCTTAGTCCCCCTCCGGCCCCGCCCGGCCAGCCCCATCCAACTAGCCACGGTGCAGTGTACCTCTGAGGCCTCGCACGTAGCCGGCTTCCCAACCACCGAGTAGTGGTTTGCCCCTTTGGCTACCCCACCAAAGGATGCTCAGGACATGACAGACGCAGTTCTCTTGGCCCCGTCGTCTGTCGAGGTATCGTCTGCCTCCCAGCAGACCGCCGCATCTAGCGCTTCTCCCCCGAGACTTCCGACGCGTCGCGCCATTCGCACAGCCCGTTGTACCGCTCAGCTGGCGACTCGCGATGACGTTGTGTCATCTCTCATGGACTTGAGCATTCTGCAGGCTCATCAGGAGCGACTCACGAGACACATCAACATCCTGCGTCGTCTTCTCGCCGTGCTCTCTGACCCTGATCGCACCCTACCCATCATTCCTATTCGACTAGGGACATCTACGAGGGTGTACCGCGCTTTATGRGACTCTGRCTCGCAGGGAGATTTCGTTCACCCTCGAGTGGTTGAGGAAGCTCGCCTAGCTACCTCTGGGTCTCGCTCTCCTATCTCCGTTACCCTCGGAGATAACAAAACACAGCGCTTCTTCGATCAGACGGTCCCCGACCTCCACTTCTCCCTCACCCTCCAACCATTGGATAGTACCCCGACGCCTAGGCGCTACCATTCCTCCGCATACTTCGACGTGTTGGAGACCGGGTACGACTGTATCCTTGGCACTCCCTGGTCTCGCCGGTTCTGTGGCACAGAGGCCGAATGGACGACCGAGACACTCGTTCTCAAAATGAAGTGTGGTCAGACCCATCGCGTCCCCTTCATTGGAACCACAGGCGACACTCCTCCCGACCTACCTCCCCGGGACCCTCGTCCCTCAGGGTCTCACCCTAACATCGCCTTCACGTCCCCTCGTCAGTTTGCTCACTTCATACGACAGGAAGACGTCACGTTCTACTCAGTGAACGTCATGGATCTTCTTCGCTATGATCCACTTTGTCTCGAGGTTGAGCTCATCTCTCTGGAGCCCGATCCCCCTGACCCTTCCTCCATCTTTGCGGCTCCCATCTCTACGTCCACCCGTCAGCCTGCAGAAACCCCGTCCACGTCCCAGGCCTCTGCGTCGTCGACTGTCGAGTCCACACATACGTCTCGTGCCGATGCAAACACTGAGGAACTCACACGGTTCACGGCAGACTTAGAGTCGGCCGTTCGCGACCTGATTCGAGAGTACCGCGACGTCTTTCCCCCGTATTTCTCATACAGCGGGATTCCCCCGATGCGCGATGTTGAGCATTCTATCCAACTCGTGCTTGACTATCGTGTTCACCATCAGGCACCGTACCGACTCTGGATTTCAGAGGCGACAGAACTCAAGCGTCAGCTTGAGGAGCTCCTTCAACTGGGTTTCATTTAATCCCAGTAACTCCCCTTGGGGTGCACCTGTCCTCTTTGCTCGCAAAGCGGACGAAACTCTCTGCCTCTACATCGACTACCGCGGCCTTAACCGTTACACGGTTAAGAACATCTATCCCATGCCCCGCGTGGATGAGCTTTTTGACCGTCTGGCAGACAACCGCTTCTTCACGAAGATCGATCTTCGTAGCGATTACCACCAGATCCGCGTTTCCACAGAGGATCAGCCGAAAACCGCCTTCCGATCCCATTTCGGCCACTACGAGTTCACGGTGATGCCATTCGGCCTCACCAATGCACCAGCCACCTTCCAGACGGCGATGGACGACATCTTCAGGGACATCCTTGAAGAATACGTTCTCGTATACCTGGACGACATCCTACAGCGCTTACGCAAGCATGGCTTCTATGCCAAGCTCAGTAAGTGCCGCTTTGCCCAGCGCAAAGTGGACTTCCTAGGACACCATGTGTTTGACCAGGGTCTCCACATGGATGACGCGAAGATCACTGCTATTGTAGAGTGGCCCGTCCCCACATCTGTCAAGCAGCTTCGCAGCTTCCTAGACCTCACCAGCTACTATAGTAATTTTATCCAGGGATACGCTAGGTATTCCTACGTCCTTACCTCTACCCTCCTCCGGAAGAACCCGCCGTGGTTTTAGACACCCCTGTGCGAGGACGTCTTTCGCGCCCTCAAGAAGGTGGTGACCTGTGCGTCGGTTCTTCGCCTTCCCGATTTTGATATTCCCTTTATCGTCACCACCGATGCATCAGATTTTGCAGTAGGAGTTGTCCTTTCTCACGTGTTTCCCTCTCCTCCAGATTCACCTTACCCCCATGTTCCTTCTTCCCCCCCCCCTCTTGGTGACACTGCTTCTCGACTGACGCCTACCCTCCCACCACTTCCCTCCACTGACAGTCCTCCTGTTACTTACTCCCCGACCATCGCGGAGGATGGGACTGTCGAGGCTCGTGCTGGGGATTGCCCGATCGCTTTCTACTCCCGTCAGCTACTGCCTGCCGAGATAAACTACACTGCCGATGAACGT